GTCCCTCACTCTCAAATGCGGTAGCTCGTCACACAACTCATAGATCAAAGACTCCTTTCATGACTTCCGAGTCCGGCGTTGAAATTACTCCACGATGCTCTCGACCCTCTTTGCATGGACCTCAAGTTCACCCTCAACCGCGAGGATTTATGCTTCATCTACCATTTTCTGATACCTTTCGGGTCTCGCCATAAAGCCTCACCCATGCACACTGGGCAAGACCTCGGTCACGCCAAGATTTAACTCAGACATGTCTCTAACCTGAAAGAAGTTCCGATGATTTTTGATTCATGAGTTTCATAGTAGCAAAATCGAGACGAAAAGAGCACGATGTGTTCTTCCGCTCGTTCATCTCTTAGTACCCATCGACCGAAGGAGAAAGGAATTCGGCATCGGTAATAATCTTGGACCATGAATGGCCAAGTGAATGAGTGAGGTCACTTCAACCAACTTCATCCACTCGTTATACTTCATATTGACCACAACCCAATTGAAACCGTGTTCGGTCTGGGTTTGAGTATCGTTGAACTTCAAAATTTCAAGCGTAGACGGAGAATCGAAATCAATAATGTTTTCCTGTCACGCTCGAGTTGCGTGTACTGACAATAAGAGCCAATTTTGATCGCTAGAATGGCCTCGAAAGTGGAAGATGAACCTAACGATGCAGCAGCTGCAGCAAGGGCTGGAGCTGGAGCATTATCTTGCATTCTTCAAAGTCCATCTTCACAATCCATCACTTCCACACATGCAAAGAGATGACACTTATTCCTAGCTATATAGAGAACACAAGCAGCGTGCACAGGTTTTGTGGCCACATTGCAATACTTCTCCTTCCCAAGTAGACTTTGATCAGAAGCAAGCAGGATAACATAAAAGAAACAACCAAGGTGTTACAGCCATGCAACTGTGCCACACCATACTCTTATCTAGACCTGCTCAACTAGATCACAGTGGTCAAGAGAAGTCCGCAATACCAAAAAATTTGCAGTTTTGATTATCGAAATGAGTTTGTAGTAATCACAACATGCTTTACAACAAAGTGGATTCTAAGATAACATAGTTTCCTTCAAAATTGATTATGAGTCCTAGTCAAAAGCATGTTGCAAGATCTGACACCTGCGAAATAGGGTCCGCCCACTTCGAAATCCGAACTTCAACTGAGAGAAGAAAAGGCGAGAAAACCAATAAGGGTCGGCTCCTCCTCTAGCTCACTGCAGTCAACTTTATGGACTGATTTAGCATATAGACCGTCCGACGGTGTGCCTAACGGCGAACCCCCAACGGTGTAATTATGAAGGGCTCCGGCCGTCATCCGGTCAGGATTGATCTAGCTCACTGCAGGCTAGAACAACCCCGACCGTGGGCTGACGGCATACGGCCACCGTCGTGACGGTCTCTCATTTGACACCGTCGCGTCAAGAAGTCACCCGTGGACCGCGCAACCTTTTATACTCAAATTCGACACATGACACCCGATACGTGTCGGCGCGATAGAAAGCGACGCGATCACGGCCCAGGTTAAGGCCGAGCGAGCAACGCAACCCAAGGCCGCACGAGTAGCAGCACGCAGGCAGCTCTGCTCTCGTCTGTCCGATCGGGGTTATGGAGAATCACCGGGGAGATGTGTTTCAGAGGGGGAGAAGTTTCATAGAGTTAAGTATGAATGGGCTCATGGCAGTGGGTGGAATTAGACCTTGGTCGTTCAGTCCCTATCAGGGTCGGTGTGTGGGGTAGACCATTCAGTACTCAATGTCCAGCTGCAGCGAGATGTTGGTGGATGGGATGTGGTTCAAACCCGAGCCGAGCATTTGTTGAGATGACATCGATCGGATGAGATGAGCTGAATGAGTGGGCCTCGCCACCACAGCAGCAGCATCCCATCGTCAATTACTACTCTACTACCACTACTACTTCACGAGTTGTAGATGTCTGACTGTATATGTCTCCACCGCAATCGCTCACCTGCACGAGAGGCCGTGACGACCAGATTATCTTGCTGGATGATGACCAAATCTCCGCTTAAAAGACTAAGAAACCCCAAGGCAGAATAGTTCATTCGTGCCTGCAATGCAAATGCGAGTATATGCGTTTCTGGGTCGAAAAATTGAGGGCTACTTTTTTGTGTTCCCTCACCTGTGGCTGCTGCCAATGCTGCTGCTGCTAGTCATTCGATAACTCATTTTTGTGAATGGGACTTTCGGTAGAATACATCTTATTTTGTGGAGTCGGAAAGTAATCCTAACTTACGGACTGGAAGCATTCCATGTAGCCACGCACTCGAAGCTTATTCAAATTTGTCAGATTTAATGATAAATCACCTTGACGAATTGATCCGAACAAAGGCATACAATCCGAAGGCTTAAAATCTCGAATCGTGGATGAAGGATTGAAACCCCTGCAGTGGTCTTTGATCTTTATTAAGTTCGTATCACATATTTTAAACAGAAGAATGATATTTGATCTGTATTCTGTCCTCTTCTGGTCAAACCTTCTTACACACTCGCTGTAATGCGTCTCTAGCTGATTCCTCTGGGACTCATGCGAGCTCAGAACAGGAGTGAATGAGCCAACCGGCGGATCCGCCATCAGACGCCCGCCAGCCTTGACAGGTTGCTTTGAATGCGATTCCGCAGGTTTCAATGAAAGACAACCAGTTCGTCCCCTACTCGTTGCCTCCCTGTGCACCAACAACCTACCGCCCGAACTACAGCATCACTCTTGATGCTAAGTGCAAATACAACGAAGACAGCTCTTGCTGTGATGCATTTGGCATCTAGAAATCGAGACTGGTAGCATAAGCTATTGGTCACTTATCGTCAATTCGTTACCGACGTATGAAGGTAGAGGAGGAAATAGAAGAATTTAGACAACAATTCGATCTGAAAGAAGTTGATTATGAAGCTACTCTAGCAGCCAAGTTAGCGACGAGCTTTCCTACTTGAAAGAGACGAAGTATGCAGCTCACCTGCATTTCAGATATTGTATTGCAGCTCGAACGTCTTACCGCATCTACTAGCCATCACTATCAGCAATTGCCTTCAATTACTACCTCCAATATCACCTGCATACAGATAAGCCGCTACGGCTCTTTCCCGGCCATGCTGTACTCGAGATTAGGTGGACTAAGTCGGTTTCGGGTCAAGCCGCCTTCACGACGTTCGATCCATACAAGTCGGTCACTGCAATTCGCATTCGTGTCCTGTAATCGGATCCATTGAAAATCAGCGGGGTGTACTGGAACAGAAGCGGAGTACGTGATTACATATTCCTTGCAGCTAACGAGTACGCAGCTTGAATGCAGAAATCATTCCACAAATCTCCACCTCCGAGCTAGCCTGATACGCCATCGCCAATCCGACACAAGAAATGCGACACAAGAACTGCTAGACGAAAAGGTCGGCAGTGGACACCTGGCATTAAAAACATGCGGCACGAGGCAGAAGGTTCACAGTCTTGAAGACAGATCTCGAGAGAGAGGGCGGTCTGTGCTTTTGGCATCAAGGCTACGCGAGGAGGCTGAAGGTTCACAGACCTGGTCCGAGTACGCAGTGCGCTATTTCTGGTCGGGCCGTAGGTTCTTTCGACCTGTGGTGTCTATTTCGGGGCGTGTTTGATCATCGCCAACCCATGGATATGGGCCCTTGTTTCAGGATTGACATGTACGCGGCCCAGCTATTGGTTTGGGCGGGCACGGGAGGGTGATGTTTTGCGAGGCTGTCGACCTATGGCTAAGTCGTGTTCATGCACAAATTTATTATGTATAAAAAGAACAAATTTTAGAGGTACGGTCCACGCTGGGGATTGCTTCGAACCATGCTGTCCAGCCCAACGTTGCGTTCAAGCCCGACAGGCACCCGATGATGGCGGTCACCACTGAGCACTCGAGCCGCGCCGAGGCCCGATACTATACACGAATACGCTGTTCCGAACTCGTGGAATATTCGAGTTTACGCAGGCCTTTCCGTGGGGGAGACGATCCGCTGTGTTGGCGTTGCACGTCAAAACGGTGGAAATTTGATCTTCAGCTGATCAAAGATGGAGATAGTCAACGCAATTACAGGGTGGTTTGGGAAACTCTCCCAAAACGTTCCGTTGGCATGAGGTCCATGATATGTTGAAGAACGTTGTGCTGGATGTCGTCAAGCCCGGGCATGGAGAATACGTCGGATTCGGGGAGCAAGGAGGTACCAGCTATGCCAAGCTACGTACCTTCATGAACTACTTCAGTATGTTCCATTGCGGAACTGGGCCCCAGAGAAAGAAACAACATCAATTGACTGGGCTCTAGATTGCGACAACATGCAATATCAGCAGGTCTATAACAAGGGACCCCTCGATTCGCGCGAACCTTTGTGAGTTCCAATGTCTGACTGGGCTCTTTACTTTCAATAGATTGATGGTACTCCTACTAACTGTGCAGCTATCACTCGGATCCATTCTTCTTCGAGGTCAACGCCAATCCAGAGCGAGATATCTAGCACGCGGAGTAGAGAGCCACGCCAGCAGTCCTCAACGCTCATAGATACTCCATCACAAAGAATTTCTTGACTTATGTATCATTATTGTTTCCTAAAAACTCGAAAGGGAAAGTTTCTCTACTTATTAGGAGTGTGTCTGGTCTTAAAAGCTCACTCGGGTTGACTGCGCACAAAGATGCCGATAGCGCTGGTTGTGTCAGGATCGGATGGCAACGCGCGGCACTGGTTTCGAACACCGAGTTGCACTACTCCAACACCGACGACGCGACAATCCAACCAAAACACCGCAAAAATGCAACTTTTCAGGCCTCCCGAAAAATTCAATTCCTCCCATCTAAATTCATTCTACAAAGATCCAAAAACCACAGATTCAGCCGAAGTTTCCATTTCTGGGGTCATATGGCAAGAGAGCGAGTGCTAACATGGACACTGCTGGGTACACTGCGAGCACTCAAGTAGCATACACCATCGAAGCCAACGTTTCTGCCAAAGCGGCACAACCATCGCGGGGCAAACCATTTTATCGAGTCGCAATACAGTGAGGATCCTGTTTACAGCTTTATTCACTACACATGCACAGCAGTTATCGTCGTGGTTAAAAGGTAGTATTGATGCTATCGTTCCCTTCCTCGAGCAGGAACACCCTCCTCTAATCACCACCTAACGACGCCGCCGCCCTATCATACCCGCACCCGAAAAGCCTTGGATCGTGACCAAAGCAAAAGCACCCAAACTTCTTCAGCCCATATCCAACAGAACATTAAAAAAAAAAAAAACACGCATCAGGCCAAGGAGAAAGATGCATGAGATGGGGAAAATAGGCGGAGCGGAGAAGTCGCCGCCGGCCCCCCTTTCAACCAAATAGCTCCTTACTCCGTGCTCTTCTGCAAGGTCAGAGCGTTGTCCTGCTGGTTGGGGAGCAGAGAGGGGTGGCTTGCGACTCTGAGCTTCATGTTCTTGAGCGAGTTGTCCACATTCATGGAGAAGCTGTAGTAGTTGCTGGCCTTGTTGAACTCGAGTTTGATTCCCGAGCTATTTTGCTGGAAGTCGGTGACGGTTCCGGTGTAGTTCTGCGGGACCTTCTCATTGCCATTTTGTTCCTTCGTCCATTGCCAAAACACGCCGATGGAGTTTCCGTAGGAGAAATTCGGGGAGCCGATGACTATGATCATCTCGTTGTCGGCGAACGGATGCTCGGTGTACTTTCCCATATAGAGAACAAGGGCTGATGTGTCGGAGGTCATAGCCAAATCAAGGGTAGTCGGTTTCTCGACGGTGCCGTGGGGATCGTTCCGCATCGTCACCACGATGGACTTTTCGTCGCTGCTGATCGTAGCGTCGAAATGGTAGTAGTTCTCTTCATGGAACCGGATGGTTCGCTTGCCGTCGACGACGAAATCCATGTTGACATATCCTTCGACGAAGTTGTTGACCTTCTTAGCGCCGGACGAATTCTCGGTCCATTGATAGGCCGTGTACACCGGATCCCCGACAGCGAAGCCCTTGGGGAACACGAAAGTGCAGGTCTCGTTGACGGCGTAAATCAACCAGTTGAGCTTGCCCCTGTAGACCTTCATTGTGGAATAGGTAGATGGATGGATATGGGACTCAGAAGTCGAAAAAAGATGAGAAGTGTACTTTGAGCGGGATGGTTGCTTGGGAATGTCTGTTTAGATCGAGAGAACTGAGGAATTTGTCTGGCTTAAATACACATGGACGTCCTTCTACATTGTCACGCTGTAAAGACGTGAAGTCTACGGCCTCGTCACTCTCTCGCAGTGACGCGATCAGTCTTCTTTTCAGACGAAACAGTCTCGATTGTACAGCCACTCGTGTCCTAGATATCTATCTCCATCTCCAAAAGGGCTCTTGGGCATTCTCGATTTTACAGCCACTCGTGTCCTAGATATCTATCTCCATCTCCAAAATGGCTCTTGGGCGTGCCCGTGCATCGTTTTATCTTGGTCGGTATTGATTTCATGCCGTTCACCTACTGCAGCTCATCTGTAATGTGGTCTGACCACACTCCGAGCCGCCTGAGGGCACTGAGAATTCAAAGAACGACAAATCACCATGTTTGTAAGAAGCTTATGAATCTTCCGATTTACAGCAGCTTGCATGCATGGTAAGTGGGAGCCAATAGCTGCCAGCTGCCAACTTGAGAAGACCGTACAAGGAAAGGGCGAAGAAAAAGAAGCTATAGCCAGAGAGACCTGATGATTCTATTCTCCCTCGGCGACCTCTCGGTTACGACTACGACACGGTAAGCGATTGATGCCTTTTTGTGAAAACTCCCAGCCTGCGGCTGTTCTTGGGATTTGCGAGCGAAACGCTAGCAGTAGCAGGATAGGAGTAGGAGGTACGAGAACGGATTCGTGAGCATATTCTCTTGAATGCGAATTCGGGGAGGATGGAGCGAGATGAACGTGAGTGATTTCCTAACTCCACACTGGTATATGACAGTCATCGGCTTGCTGGCTCAATTCCCTTGGTGCTCGGATTTTTTACCGAGCAGATGATACTGAGTTGGATATGTCGATCATCCAGGGCGCGACAAGTAGTCGGCCCCTGCCTCGCATACAAATGGGTGCTGTCCGAGGGGACTGGGGATGTTCCGGGCGCTGATGACCGACCCGGAAAGGATCAGATGTCGGTGCCGACCCATAGGAAAGATATATGTGTAGGCATCAGCTGAATGCACCATAATATAACTCATCGTGATGAGTGCTGTGTCCAACAGCGGTGGTTGGGTTTTATTATGTGGCTGGGTTTTCACACTGCCATGGCGAGTCCACGTATCATCTCAGAGTACAGAGCCACAGTGCTTGCTTGCACAGCTGCGCCTGCCTAGACTGCAGGCTAGAACAACCCCGACCTTGGAATCGGCGTGCCTGGCAAGGTGGTGCAGATTTGCAAAAACGGCAGCAGATCTGTTTCTGGTCGCAAGATTGATGATGTGGTGGGGTTTAAACTGGTGAATAGTGTATAATCTGAGTACCACGAACTCAGCATGCTCTTTCTTAATTAAGGTTCTTCCATGTCAGCTTCGCAAATTTAACAAAATCATCCAGTCTGCCATGGACTCCCAGAAAGTCAAAACACAAAAGTGTGATGAAAATTCGAGAGAGGTATTTTGTCTCCACCATGGCACTTCGAGGAAACTTCTTCTTCGGCACTGCCCACTTCAGTAAATTGCAGGAAGTCACCCATCACAGCAATTCATCGACACTGATTTGATTGTAGACATGGGCACGGATTTGAGAAAGTGGATAATGGGAAAGCCACTGCAGGTAAAAGGTAGACCAGACTAACGAGAAAAACAGCGTGCAAGGTTCACTGCTGGGAAGGGACGGAAAGAGGAACGGAGAGCAAGGCTGACATCGAGCTTTTAGAAAGCCATAGTAGAGAGAAGGAAACCAAGCAAAATTTGAAACCCCGCCAGTTCTCTCAAAGCCGCGACGACATTAAAAGCCCATACAAAAGCAACTTTCTTGACAATCGTGACTCATCGGCTTGTATTCAGAAATCATTCGACAAATTGCCAGCTCGCCAATCCGAGATTACGGCACAAAAAATTGGCAGAAGAAAAGGCCGGCCAGAGTCATCTTGGGGGCGAAACGCGATACCCCTTGAACGGTGTACGTATACCGTGAGGCCGGAGAGGATACAGTTGAACGGTGTACGTATACCGTGAGGCCGGAGAGGATACAGTCCGGGTTGTTCTAGCCAAAAGCCTGATTAGAACCAGAACTCTCTCCAACTTCCGCTTCGTCCCAAGAGGTATACCCAGTTATGGATATAATAGTTTCTCGCCTAAATACATATAATTTAGTCTCCTCGAAACAAATTACTTTAATCTATTCAAAAACATTAGTTTAGTCTAATTTAGTACACTAAAAAGGTAATTTAGAATAATTTAATTTCTAAACATTTAAATTAGGTTAATTTAGTATATTATACATATTTTTTCAGAGTAAAAATTTATTTTTTAAAAATACATATATATCCATAAATGTATAAAAAATAAATTAAAAAATCCATCTATTCTGCATACGTGTCCATTCTCATTGGTTAGACCATGTACACGCCAAGTCGTAACTACCTTAATTTAGTCGCCTAATACAACCATGCCTGCTTATACTCCATAATCGAGGTGGATCTGAATATCTATGCCTTGTATCCAACCGCGTACGCGAGGGTCCACGAACGTGGTGGGTCGACGAAGTGTCTCGGGGAATCCAGTAGCCTCTCTCCGACCACGTAGAAATCGGTAGAATGTTCTCTTCTCCGTATGGTAGACATCCTTTTTCGGGTACTCTTATATATTCTTGGATTAGTGCAGTTCTGGAATCATATTGTCAAAGTCTTAACCGTAAAGTAGGCCTCATACATTCGTACCCACAGACAGACGAACAACTCCGTGGCCAATAAGGTTGTGCTTTGTGATTGATAGAATGGAATAACTGCAAAAGCAATATTGTTTAGTAACTCGTAGTCACTCAGTCCTACACCCCGATATGCACCTCCAAATTTTGAAGTCAAAATCACTCGAGCCCTGAGTCATAGCTAGATTTGGCGTTTACCGTCTCCTTGTGTTCATTTGTATGTCATATTTGCAGTTGCCCATATAGACATACGGAAATCTAGCCCCAACTATTATTAGCATAAAGCTAGCAGAATGAGGGAGACAATTACTTGATGGTAACAAAACATTTGTTCACACCCAACACATGGTGGATTACATTACCATTGTACATGGTAATGTAATCCACCATCATCCATGTTCTTTTAATTAGATATTGTAGTGACTTGATTCTAAGTGATCTTAACGTAACAGGCTATCAGAGAACAAAGTCCCGTCCAATAGAGCTCATACAACTTCCACATAACTCTCGTATGAAAGTTTGAAACTTCATGATGCACTTACGAGTCATCAACAAATGCAATCCCTTAGAAATCAAACAGCTCTCCGAACTAAGTTTGAGAATAAAGAGACAAGTTCGCAATTTCGGTAGCTACAACAAACTTCGCAACAATCAGAACTACAATCATGATAGACAATATAATTTGAAATTTAATGTGCATGAGAAATTGTATATCTGTTAGATTTTTTTAGGGAAATGTTAAATCGACCATCTCTTTACTATATAGACACATCAGGTTTGTTGATGGGGAAATCGACACATCCCAGGACATCGAAAGTGATTTCACGTACCACACGTTCAAAGGGAAACTTCTTGATGAGCAGTTAACAGTAACCTTGTTATGTTACCGTTAAATCGACCGGCGACGCGTCAAAAAAAAGTCGCATCGAAAGAGATGGGTCGATTTAACATTTCACTTTTTTTAAATATATATTTTGTCATGACAAATATTTGTATGTTATCACGGACACAGTTTGACCTCATGGCCGAAGTATTCCCGAGAGAGTAATTTGGTATGGAAGTGTCATTTTCTCCTCTAGCACTATATTAATTTACAAGAATCCCCATGTTAACACAGTTGACGATGTGATCCATAGTGTTTTGCATTCCATGAAGTGATTTCCAAAGTTTTATCACAGAACATTCGGGAATTCTCTGAAAACATTAGAAGTGCTTTTTTTTTGGGATCTTATGTACAGTCATAATTTTCTACCGCAGTCTCGTGAAAGTCTCCAAAATAAATAAATAATTTTTGAATATACCCATTGGAAAGGAATTCAAATAACGAGGAATAAATTCATGTCCTGAAAACGTCATTACTCCCACTCATAGTCAGTAATGACTAATAAATTTTAGAAGTCTCTTCGGTCTTTACTTCCTCCAAACCCAAATATTGTAAGAGTACCCTCCCACAACCCCCACTTTCACTTCTCCATTTTCCCGGACCGTCCCTGTTAAAGGTCCCCGCTCATGGGTCACGTCTGGCGCACATGGAGAAAGGAATTGCAAATTGCTTCAATATATCGTACTTATTTGCGCACGATGGAAATGGATTCTCCGTCGGAAATAGAAGTCATTCGGAACCCCTAAGATTAATCCGCACTGAGGAATTGATTTAGTATACACTGTTTTACTAATTTCACACGATGCACTAAGAGTGGATGGTTAATTGGGGTATAGAATTATAATGGGAAACATTCTAAAAGTACATTGATTGTGTTGAACAAAACACTTTCATTTGTGTCATTGAACAAATCAAATTCTTTTATGAAGGACTGCAACTTCGCCAGCTTTTGAGAATTGAGCCAATTTTCCAATCCCCATTTGGTGTACACAAACATTCTTTAAATGTGATTTCTTTTTCTCATATATAAATTCAATAAGTGTAAAGCGGTGATGGTGATGCACTTCTAACAAGACCACAATAATAAAAATTCAGACTGGAAGTGACACATACATTCATTACAGTTAGGACTGAAGTGGCTAAAGCAAGATAATTGAAACTGGGTGATTTAGCCACTATAGCAATTATGTTAAAGGGCTAAATTCTGCAGGGGCTCTAGTTTGGAGTTGAGTGAAACTTTTCTAAGTCTTGGAAATTAACTCACATTCGCCATTGTACCTATCCAATGATCCAAACATCTTCACTAACAAACTGACAAGTACGGGACATGATCTTAAATATAAAATTTAATACTTCCTTTATGTTGGCTTTCCTCATCAATGGTTAGAAGCTCAAATACAAAGAAAAGC